CCTCTAGCCTACACCCCAGTTCTTGTATGTATAAATATATAAATCTTTCTTTTAAAAACTTACCACTTTTACTGTTTTAAGAGTAGTTTGGTGGCATTAAATATATTCACCTTGTTATACAGTCATCAACCATCATCCATTGCCAGAACTTTCTCATCTCCCCCAATAAATTCTGTATTCATTAAAACATAACTACTGACTCTCCCCTTCCTGCAGTCCCTGTGAGCACCATTTCTTTCTCTGTGAAAGAAGGTACCTCACATAAGTAGAATCATATACAGTTTGCTTTTTGTGTCTTGCTTATTTCATTTGGCATAATTTCCCCAAGGTTCTTCCATGAGGTTACATGTGTCAGAATATCTTTTTAAAGCTGAGTAATATTTCATCATCTATATCACATTTTGTTTGGCCATCTGTTGATGGACACCTGGGTTGCCTCCACCTTCTGGCTATTGTGAATAATGTTGCTATTAAAATAGTGTGCAAATGAGTAAGTCCCTGTTTTCTTACTTTTGGACATAGGCCCAGAAATGCCAGATCATATGGTAACTGTTAGATTTTCTTGAGTAATCACCATCCCATTTCCTACAGTGATTGTACCATTTTACATTCCCATCAGCAATGCACAAAGGTTTCATCTTCACAGCCTCACCAACTAATGTCATTTCCTATTTTTTGTGATGCCATCTTAAATGGTAAGTTGGTTTCTCATAGTGGTTTTGTTAAGGGGAAGGATGTCCTAAAGGAACTCTGCAGTCTTCTGGACCTCCAAGGGGGTGGGGTCCATACGAATCTGCAGAGTTCCTTTAGAACATCCTTCCCCTTAACAGTTTGACTTGCATTTTCCCAAATTAATAATGTTGAATATTTTTTTCATGTGTTTATCAGCCATCTGTATTATCTTTAGAGGTACATCAAATCCTTGATGGATTTTTTTAGTAGGGTTATTTGGGTGTTACATGGGTTTATTTCTGGGCTATTTTAATTGATTATATGTCGGTCTTTATGCCAGTATCACAGTTTTGATATAGCTTTGTAATAAATTCTGAAGTCAGGAATTATGAACCTCTATTGTTCTTCAGGATTGTTTTCAGTTCTTTAGGATCACTTGTGATTTATTTTAAAATGAGTTTTTTGTTTCTTAAGAAAACATGATTACAATGTTGACGCGAAATATATTTTCCCACTCACTCAGAATCTATTTTAGATTGCATATATTTGGATAAAGTTGGGTCAGGAGCAGCAACACATCCCTGGAGACATGCTGAGGGACAAATCATGGAGGTTTGCAAGGCAAGACTGCTGTTCATTGGGCAGCCCTTTTGCTACTTATTAGCAGCATAATTGATTAGGAGACAATGGCAAGGAGGAGCAGGGTCCAAAGGAGACCAAAGGAAATCAACACTATTGAGAACAGAAAGGGACATGTCAGCCACGTGTACAGGGCGGGCTTCCTGTGCAGGTTCTTGAGGTTAATTTCTGAGCTATTCTCAGACGACCTCAGACTTTGGTCACACAATCAGCCAGTAGCTCCCTCGGCATCCCTGGATGCCCCATGATGTGGGCCTTTGTGTTCAGGCAGTCATGCAGGACAGCCGTATCCAAATCCTGTGCACGAGTATGCACATACACACACACACCCACCATTTCCATCTCTACGTAATGTTCCTTTTAACCCATTACAGCTTTCTCAATTGACATCCCTTGACTGGGGATTTCATTACACTTAAGCTAATGATAGGGATGGACTGACTTACGCCATTTTATTTTCTAACAGATTTTTTGTTACTGGTTTTCTGTTATTACCATCTTATGTGTTTAGTTGAATTTTGTAATGACATGTTTTGATTTCTTCTCATTTCCTTTTGTTTATATCCTATCAGTACATTTTATTTGTGATGGGGATTACACATAGTATCATAAAGTTACAATAATCTAATTTGCATAAATACCAACTTAAATCACCCACAAAAATTATACGTAAGTTCTTTTCTAGTGAAATCAAATTATCTTTCTATACTGTGTACTCCTGTAGATTAAGATATGCATATTTTTGAAATCCATAGAAAAAAGTGAAGAAATCAAAATTACAATGCTGCTATATTTGTCTATACATTTTCCTTCATTATTTCTCTATATTTTCATGACTAAGTTATTACATAATGTCCTTTTGGTTTGAAGCATTTCTTGCAGAGCAAGTCTATTAGTAGCTTTCATTTGAGATTTTTTTTTTAAATATTCATTTATTTATGCATTATAAGAACTGTGGTATAGGCCAGTGGTGCAGGGCTGGAGGGCTGGAGGGTGAGAGGATTCACCAGTGACAGATTGGGGAACGAAGAAGGCAGATCTACTGAAATACACTGCTGAGGGGAGCAGCAGGTAAGATAGGAGAGGTCTGCTGTACCATGTGGGTCACCTCCCTGGTCAGGCATAGAACTCAGGCCTCCATGGTGGGCAGTCTCAGTGATAGCACTGAGATTTAACCCCTACGCCACTAGGGAGGCATCCACACTGATTAATTTCAATAAGGACTATATTCCCCCCCCTTACAAAAGTCTGATGTATTTCATGTGGTTGAGTCTTAACATTTGTCTTAAGCAATAAGTAAAAATGGAACATAACTAAATATAACTTTTTTAGTTGTTTTATCTGACAGTTAACAGCTATGTTTTATTGCCTAGGTATATCAAAGGATAAGACTGTTATTATAAGTTATTCATCATATAGTTCCCTTACACAATACGAATTAACCCCTGGTGTATCCAAAATAGCACAAAACCTACATTGTAATGATGTTTGATGACATTTATGGCTTTAAATATGAACTAAATGAATGACTTTTCTAGGAAAGGTTAACTAAAGGTACCATTTATCTCCCTAAAAATGACCTGGAATGTAGTCCATATCACTCTACATATTTTAAGATGTTATATTCTGAATCCTTTGAAATGTTTAGTGTAAAATCAATTTGTACTAGAAATAAGCCTGATTGGAAATTAGAAGAACCAAATGGTATCTAAATTTTTGTACTTTTCTGTGATTATCTTGCTTTGTACAAGTAATTTCAACAAAAAAAGCACTGCAATGGAAATTCAACAAGGTCTCAAAAAGCAAAATAAGGATAATTTCAACTCCTTTTATTTCCCCTTTTACTTAAAATCTCATTTTTCACTTGTAAATTATTTTTTAAAATTCATGTAAGATAGTTTGCTCAATCTTCCTGCATCAGTTTAATTTAATATTTAACTGAAGGTTAAGTCCACACAAAATAAGCTTTAAAGGTAAGAAAGCAAGCAGAAAGGAGCCTTTCTAGTCTACTAGAGTTAATTTTACAGTGTAGTTGATATCTAAGGATATTAGGAAAATAAATAAAAAATCTATTTTATACTGAAACATTTAGTTAAAACCAAGTTATACTCTAGTCTGATTCATCACTTTTTCTCTCAATTTCTCAATGTCACTTCTTCTAAAGCACCAACTTTGACCATATTAATTAAGTGCTGCCATGAGAAGAGATTGGTTCGTCTTGCTGGTTATTCAGATCGACAATTTTCACTTTGTTTCTTCCTTTGTACTATTTTGTAATTCTGCTTATTTCTTGTGACTTTCAATTATCTAACTATGATTGAGTATTTGTGTTGTTTTAGTATTATACTAAGTCTTTTAAAGGCAGGAATTGAATCATTCAATTGTTTAGCCCATGAAGCTCTGCAGGAAGGTAGTTCATTTGTCAACCATATGGACTTAAGTGAAGACCTGGTATGGAAAATATATATAATACCAATCAACATATGACTGTGTGAGGATATTTAGTCTTCACATTAGTGATTATCTCTCTCTCACACACACATTTACATATTATTTGTTTACTGCTTACAAACTCTTAATCCTCTTCTGCTTGTAGTAATTGCCTGATTATATCTTTACCACAGTAAATATCGGTGCACTTACTAGTTACCTTCACAAAGAATTCTAAAATCACTTCCTTATATTTATATTACTAGGTTACTATGTTGTTATCATATTTATTTACCATGCTGTTTGAGTATTTTGGTGTATAACAAATTAACTTCATGTCGGTGACGGTGGTTTTATTCTTCCTGTCATCTCTGAAGCACAGGTATTTAGGAATAGGGAGGAAACAAGTTTATACATTTTCCACAATAGCTCTAGCTCATATTTATATGAAAAAATAACACTTTGGGGAAAAAAAAAAAGGACTGCAGTGACCACTAGACCCACAGTTCTGTACTGGAATTCCATTTTCTTTTTCATTTGAAAAGAGTTAATAATCATGAAACTTGGGAAGGTTCTGCAATATTTAATACTTAAAAGAGTGATTCACAATCCTCATGTGGGATTGGGGTTAAATGTAATAAGGAAATGTGTATGATTACAGGATATACAATTTCATTCTGAAATAGGTATTTTTATTCTATGCTAAAACACCTGGCAATAAATCTTGCTTTCCATCCTTTGAATCTCCATTTTATTTCTATACTTGAATTTGCATTGTTTCCATCTAATTTTTACTAAAACCTATGTTCCACCTACGTTCATGAAACTACTGAACTTTTTCAATATTTCTTACTGAATTATTGGTACTGAAACACAAGATACTTGGAAGAAAAGAACTTCACAACTGATTTGGTTTAAAAAAAAAACAAACACCTCCCTTGTCAATTAACCTAGACAATTAACTATGTCTTCACACATATAAAGGACAAAACCCCTTGTGTGAACTAGGACTCACTGTAAGGAATGTAAAAAGGTGATGGGTCAAATAACATACCTCACTGAGTTTACAGCTTTATGCTACATACTTAATAGAAAGTCAACTGCAAAGTTGTAGAGCTACCTATGAAGGAAATATATTTTAACTGATTAAAATATCTAAGTCCCTATGTACTGAAATAGCAAATCAAGTAACCTGTTATTAACAGTATACATTAACATCAAATGCGAAAAACACCACACAGAAAACAGAAACATTTTTAAAAAAAGATTTAAGATCATAAATAGGTCATTGTCACAATACATTTCAGAATTGAAAAACATTTTGGCTTTTTAGGAAAATACTCCTTTTATCAGTTCCCTCATCACTGAAAGGATAGGTACATTTTTTTTTAATTTCCAGTCTCCTAAGGCACAATATTAATCAGAAAATACCAGTATCACCACCTCACTATAGTTAGTACTAAGAGGTGTAAAGTATTAGCACTAAGAAAACAGCAAATTTATGGACAAAAATCATTAACTTTTAAAAAGGAAGAAACAGATTTAACGATAGTAATTTTAGATAAAAAGGCCCAATGTTGTCATGCAGAACTTTAAAAAGAAAAAAAATTTATTTTAACTCAAATAGATTTAATTCCTCAGAGAATCTATGAAAAAAGGGGATTTGTAAATACAGTATATTTTCTTCAAAAAGGATTTGAGAGAATAAAGCCAATAAAATAGCTTATGAGTGGGGCAAATACTATGTAGAACCCAGATTAGTTGTAGTTTATTCTTAAGTCTTCAGGCAGATCTAGAAAATAAAAAAGGTAAGAGTAGGTAACATATCACCTCGGTACATCGTGGAAGGCATCAGTTCCTTAAGCACATGGCCCATTCTAGTCTACTACCACTTACCTACTGAGATGTAGTGAAATAGTATAATCAGATGCTGAAAGTTTTTGTCAACCAGAAAGTTCTTTAAAATATAACAAATGTAAAAATTACACATTGTTAACTCTGCCTTGCTTTATCATCTGTGATACTAATTGAACTTCAAGGTGATATATGTACAGGTGGTGATTTAGTGTTACTTTTAGAAAGGAAAACCCAAAAGTTAGTGATTGTCCACAGATGAAACATGGGATGAGGTTTATGACTGAATCGATCATGGAGTGTTACTCAGTTGTAAACTCTTGAACGTTAAGGTTGGCAAACACGTATCAGACAAATTTAGAGTAAGAGGAAGAGAAGCCTATTTGTCATTCCAATTCTGACAAGGTGCATGGTCTTCGAAATTCTTGTCCACGTTCATGAAGCCACTTGTTGGATACTGTGAGATAAAGAAAAATACAGTAAATTTTCATACCATCTATTACTGAATGAACTTCTAAGAGTTAAGTCTATAACAAAGTTTCTACATGGCCCTAAAGTTCAAGCACAAAACAAACAAACAAAAAAACAGTTGTTACTTAGATAAGTTTTTTAAAAAGTTCACTAAATGTTGTAAATTCACACTGTATAATACAGTTATGTATGTTATGTACATTTCAGTCTATGTGCATTTCCTAGAGTTTCTAATGTTCAATGTATGGATTAAAACACAGACCAGGACATTGTATCAGAGGTTATATTTTGCAATCAAGTAAATCAAAGACATTTTTTTAAATATACGTAGTCTGCATTCTAAGGGAGCAACTCCAGGATCAATTACTACTATTTTTTTAATTGTTTGTGGTTATTTTATTTATGCATGTGTTATAATAACATACATTTCCTTTCTCTGAATAGCTTACATTTGAAGGGAAACAATATGTTATGATCAATGAGAGATGGTTACTACACAGAGCAATGGTTTGGAAACAAGGAAAAATAATTAACTATTAGTTTCTGTTTCACTAGATGTTAAGAAAGTTTGGCTTATATATATTTTCATCATTCTTCATTTTTGTACAATGTGTGCTTTCTCCTCTTAAAGTGTAGGGCCTCTATGCACCAGGCATCATAGTACCTTTTGCTCTTTACTCTCATCTTGATTTCTCTCCCTCCAACTCTCCTGTACAATGTCTCTGATTATAGTTGTCTGTTAATTTTGTTTAATTCATTATAATTTTTCCCTAATGTCTTATTTGGTTCCCCTACATTCCTCCTATAAGTGAAACCATCCAATATTTTTCTTTTTGCTTCTGGTTCATTTCACTGAGTAAAATCCCTTCTAGTTGCATCCATGTTGTGAATGTCATTAGCTTATCTTTTTTGATTGCTGAGTAGTATTCTGTTGTGTGCATCTATTTATATACATATACAATACACACACACATATATATGGATCATATGGCAGCTCCATTTTTAGTAATCTGAGGAACCTCCACACAGCTTTCCATATGGGTTGAACCAGTTAACATTCCCACCAGCAATGTAGGAGAGTTTTTTTTCTCCACATCTTTGCCAACATTTATTGTTGCTGGTTTTTATATGTTCCATTCTCATTGGTGTATGGTGGTATTACATTTTGTTTTTGATTTGCATTTCCCAGATTATAAGGAATGTTGAACATATTTTCAAATACCTGTTGGCCATTTGCATTTCCTTTTTGGAGAAGTGTCTTTTTTGCTCTCCTGTTAATTTGTTTGAATGGGTTGTTTAGTTTGTTTTCATTGAATACTGTGAGCTCTTTGTAGACTTTATCTATAGTCTCTCATCAGTTATATTGTGTGCAAAAAATTTCTACCAATCAGTAGGGTGCCTCTGTTTTAGTTAATGTCTCTTTTGCTGTACAGAAGCTTTTTAGTTTGATGTAATCCCAGCTTTTTAGCTTTTCCTTCACTTTCTTTGCTTTGGGGGGATGAGTCTTTATAAATGTTACAAAGATGTTTGTCATGTAATGTTTTACCTATATTTTCTTCTATATATTTTATGGTTTCAGGTCACATTGTAATTCTTTTTATCCATTTATCTGTATTTATTACTTATTAAAATTTAAGGTAGCACTAGTTTACAACACTGTGTATGGTAAAGAAATAGAGCATCCCACTTCTTCAGATTTTTAAATATGCCTCAAAAGAAATTTATTTTCTGCTACGATCTTAAAAATCAATGTACTATGAAGCTGTCTGAAGCCACTGCAGCACAAATTCAATCCCCAGCCAGGGAGGTGACCTGCATGGCATGGCAGACCTCATGTTTCACCCGCTGCCCCCCTCAACAGTGTGTTACAGTGGATCTGTTTTGCTTCCCACTGTCTCTGGTGAATCCTCTTACCCCCTGTACCTCTGGCCTGCACTCCAATTCTTGTGTACATAAATAAATTAAAAAAAAAATCTTGGCCCCTCCCTGGTGGTGCAATTGGTTAGAACTCATCACTGCAAGCTAGCACTTCGGTGCAAGTTCAATCCCGACACTGGAGGTGATCCACATGGCACAGCAGATACCTCCTGACCCGCCCGCTGCTCCCCTCAGCAGTGTACTTCATTGATCTGCCTGTTCTACTCCCCTCTCTATCTCTGATGAAGCTTCTCACTGTCCCTGCAACTCTGGCCTGTTCTGTATGTCCAAATAAATAAATCTTAAAAAAAAATCTTAAGCCAGGGCCTATAATAATTCTTAGCTACTCTTAACTTATCCACACTTTTATTCATCAAACCCATCAATTTTCCTTACATAACTCCTTAAATTTTTAAAATTTATTTTTCAGGTTCTAGCCCTTCTGCTGCTATTTCAGTCCAGGTTTTCATTATCATCCACTTAAACAATGAAAAACAGCCCTCTAAACTGATCTTTCCTTGACTAACCTCTATTGATTCTAACATAGTGACTCTGAAACATTATAATTACCAGGGGGAATCTCTTAAATCTTGATCAGTTACTCCTTAATCTTACTATGTACAATACTGTAACCACTCGATAGATGTGGCTACTGAGCCAATGAAATGCCGCTAGTGACACCTAATGAAATAGCTAACGGGGGTTAAATAGAATATATTAAAATAGGTCTTATCTGTTTCTATTTCTATTTCTTCTAAAATGTGACGAATCCTGTACTGCAAGACCCTGAGATTGTATGCCTCTCTAGCTTCACACTGGTCCTGACCCTAATCCTTAACATCCCTGCAAAATGACTGCATTATATCTAGTACCAAACTTAAAAATTAAGCTTTGAAGAAGTCTCCCCAAAGTAGGAGGTTGCCCTCTTCAGTTTACATCTTTGTGTTAGCATGTACGATACTATATCTGTTAATATGTCTCAGAGATCATTGTGAGCCATGTCAGGAAAACATACTGTCTTCATTTTGAGCCAAAGTTTCTTAGAATAACATGTGGAAATTGTGTTTAAAAACAGTGTCACACAAAAATCACAAATGATATTCAGAGAACACAGGAAATACTTACCCCATTTGTTCCCCACTAGCACCGGACAGGCTGCATGCCGTGTACTGTAATCTCCTTCTCCACTGGCAAATAAGTTATACCAGAAAACAGCAGTTCCCTGTGGAGAACAACACAAAATTAGTCCCAGATATAATACCAGGTTCTCACTTTGTGCAGTAACCAAATTTTCCTCTTTTTGTTGAAGTAGTCCTTTATGGAAACATTTTATCTTCCTCTAACAGGATCTTGATAAGTGATTGCATCATTTAAAAACTTTCTGGGGATCATATGAAAATGTTAGTACCACAACAGGTGTGTGGCAAAGAAAATTTTCCAAAATAAATCTTAATAGTAGATGGAGTGGCAAACAATTTGTGGAACCCAGTTTAGAAATGAAGATTTTTTAAACACTAATCTCTGGTCATTACCTCAAGGTATGTATGATGAATTGATCTATAAGAACATCCAAAATCTTATCTGGAAATAATGTAGTCCTTACATATTAGACATGAAATAAAGGTACATCTCCTCAGCAAAAGAAATGAAGAGACCCCAAAATTAAAATAACAAAGCAACTCTACCTTTTTAGGCCAAACACTAGCCCCTACTTCAGGAAAAACAGTGGCTCCTCCTGCTGAGACATCACTCATCTAAAAGATAAAAGATAAGAGTATTAACACTGCTGTTAGAATCAAGTTAAATATGCCACTTTAATGAGGATGTGATCTGGAATTCTGTAACATGAGAATATCTGGCTTCCACTTACATGACTTTGTGTATGCTACTCAGTTTTTAAAAAACAAAATAAGATAATGTTTAGGTTGCCATAAGTTAGAGATATATATAATATATATAGCTTCCATATATATTCCATGTGGTGTGTGTGCATATATGTATATACAGAATGATAACCAGAAAGGGAGATGGGAATATAACTGAGAATAGGCACTCCTTTTTATAAGCAGAGATAAAAAGAGGATTTAAGAACAGAAAAATCAAGTAACAGGTATCTAAAAGTATTTTATTGTACTAAGAATTTATAAGGTCCATGATGGGAATGGAGAAGGAATTTCCTCTTTATTGTCCATAATAGCTTTATTGTCCATAATAGTATCTGAAGAACAGCAGGTATTCAGTAAGTAGTAAATGAATTTAAACAAAACCAGAAATAAACATCAAGAGAATAACAATAAACTAAAATCAGTTTTGTCATTTCTCATAGGAAGAAATATTAACTAAGAATTACATAAAACTATATGGTTTTAAAGATAACCTAGAATATATTAACAGAGTGTCAAGATAAAGCACAACTATATGATGGTGGGTAGACCATGGGGATTACAACCGAGATGAAAAAATGCACAAAATGAAGACTGATGTAAAAAAAAAATTTAAAAATTTAAATAAATACAATAATATAAACCACAAAAGAAAACAATTATATGTTTATTCAAAGGTCACATGTAAAACAAGGGACTTTAAAACAAATGGATAAGATTTGTTTTTGTTGTGTGCCTAAGAAAACTGAGTTTGATTTTAATATGAGGCAGGTTAAAATCAAAGTAAAAAAAAAAAAAAAGATTAAAAAAGTGTATTTTACCATCATAAAAATAAAGTCAGAGTTTAAAGTCCTTCAACAAACCAAAAACTAACTGTGGAAATTATTGTTCATGAGAAAGAAAAGTAGCTATAGGGTACTTACTATGTGACACATTTGGAAATACTGTTTAAATAATGTGGAGTGGCAATCTAATCAAAATGCTATATAACTAGAGGAGATGTAATAGTAATCTAACATATAATCTAATTATGTATGGATACTGGAACCTATAATGCAGTATCCATATTTATATGAGCAAATAAAATACAAGGACAAAGCTACACGGAGAAGGAAATTCTAAAAACTCTTAGACATCTGAAAAGATGCACAATGCTCTAAAAGAAATGCAAATTAGAGCTATAACATTTGTCATTCTAAGTGAAAGACAAGCAGATCAGAAAGGGACAAACATACATTTAAAGGTGAGATATAAACTGGTACAACCTCTATAAAGAGATCACCTCTACAAAGTGTACAAGACTTCATAGTATAAATTTTGTATAGTATATCAACTTCTGAGATTCCTTTTGAGATAACTCTCATTTTTAATTCAATTTACGTGTCTAGCTCTTTTTTCTAAGATATCTTAGAGCTTTTGGGAAACGAGACAGTTGTGTAATGGGTGGAAATAGGTAAGGGCGAGAAAGAGCAAGGACAGTAAGTCAAAAGTTTGGATGTAGAGAAAGGGGAAGAATGGTGATAATAGGGCAAAAGACTAATAGGGAAGGTGGCGGGGAGAAAGGAAGGAAGAAAACAGATTGAGTTGAGAGATTTTGGTAGGGAATAAGATGTAACAGACAGCAAAAAAGAAATGGCCAATTCATATAACTCAAATAGGGGCACAGGATGGAAAGAGTAATGAAATAAGTAAAATTAAGTCTAAATGTAAATTGTATCTTATATTTAACAAAGATTACATTATAAGGGACCTTATTCTTCAAGACCTATCCTGATAGTCTGTGTTTTATATGCTGTTTTTATGTGACATTCTTAAGTGGTAATGTCTGTCTCTTCTGCTTGAACCATGTAATTGAGTAGTAAAATACAGAGTGACACTACCTGACTTCAGAATGTAGGTGTTAAAAAAGCCATGCACTCGGGCCTCAATCTTATTTTTAGGAGGAGAAATATTTTGCTTGTGTAATCCAATCACCATTTGTTCGAAAGCCCAGACCACTTGTCGGTCCAGACTCAATCTCAGCGTTCCAGCTAGAGACAGTCATGCAAATGCATAGGAGACCCAGAGAAAGAACTGAGTTTAAGCTTAGTCAACCTCACAATATTGAGAGAGAAATATAAATTGGCTGTTAAGTAACAATAGATGATTGGGACAAATATTATGATCAAAGCTTAATTTTGTCTATATGTATATACATATAAACAATTTTAAAATTAAGATTAAGATCATGCTGTTTTTGAAAGCTTGATGAACAGCATGGGAACTGTTGCACATGAAAGGCCTTTTAGGGTGCTGTAAAATGCTATATGTTAATCTGGGTGCAAATGACACTAGATGCATTCACTTTATGAAAAGTTGTGATTTGTGTACTTTTCTGATATATACCAGTAATTAAAAAGGAAAGTTTATATAATGTGCACACATGTATATACTATATATACCTAAAGAGTCCATATTCTAGAGTATTAATAATGATTATGGCCCAAGTAGTTATCACTTGGAGTGTAACTAATTTTAACTTCAGGTTGTAATACCACAATACAAAAAAGCTGCAAATGCAAATTCTTAACTCCCTTTATTCAGTTGTGACATCCTTAAGTGATAGGGTTAAATAAGAGCTAAGAAGAACAACAAGCTGAACACACATCTCAAAATAAATGAGTCACGTAAACAAACCCCAACTTAAAATTAAAAATTAACTGTAACTTACATAAAACAGCCATGTAGCAATTCTATTTCCTGTCCCCAGCTCTTTGAAAGCATCTGGCTCATCTTTCTGTGAATGAAACACAACTAATTCAGTAATGAACCTGTCCAGCAGCATTAAATATTAGTAACATGCTGAGTGGTAGGCTAAAACAACCCCAGAAGTTCTCTATAATGTCCCGTGTGCTATTGTACAGAAATACTCAAGCAGTTATTGGTTGTTGATTCTGTTTGCATACTGAATATATATATTTTTAACTTTATTTTTGGATAGAAGAACTAGGGTGTAGGCCAGAGACAGAGCGGGGAGCAGAACAGGCAGATTTACTGAAATACACTAAGGGGAGCAGTTGAGTATGGCAGGAGGGGTCTGCTGCTCCATATGTGGATTAGCTCCCTGCCTGGGGATCCAACTCAGGCTGTTCTGGTGTTAGAAAGCTGTGACTTAACCCTTAGGCCACCAGGAAGGAAGGCCTGCATACTGAATATTTTTTGAGAAAACATGTTTACTAGACTAAATAACCAGAACCTATCCATAGACCGTCAAAAAAGTTATCCACAGTTTTACCTTACCAAAAAAAAAAAAAAAGAAGAAATGGAAGATTGGTGACTACATCATGAAGTCTATATGGGTAAAAATTTAAGATTTTCTTTGAAGTCTTCATTTGTTCAAATGTCCATTGCTACTATGGTTGTATTTCTTTGGGACAGTCAGTACTTTAACCTGCTAAAGAAGTCACACTTGGCTATTTAAATCTAAGTTAAACAATATGCTCTCGGCATTTATCACTGAAAAATGACAATGTATTTCTCACACAGAAATTTATACTCACAGTTCAAAAGTAGAAACTAAGGAAACTTCAAAGGGCATGTGATTACATAAGCTGTGGTATGTATGTATATGGGTGTGTGTATAAAACATGGAATAAAAGAAATATAACAGTACTAATATGTAGTGTAAAAATTCAGATGAACTTCAAAGGAGCTACACTGAGTGCAAAAAGATAACCATGAAACAATCTCTATTGCAAATAATCTTTACATTAACAACTGAAAAAATTACACAAACAATAGATTAGTGTTACTAGCAGTTCTAAGTGGGAGACAGAAAGTAAGAGGTGTAGAGTGCTACACTCTAGGTGTAGTGCTATGGGCAGGACTGCAAGGGAAGTCTTTCAGTGATGGTGCAATTATGTATCTTGATTGTAGTGGCAATTACACAAAGCTACACATGTAATAAAGCTGCATAAGTAGACACAAGTACAAATGGTGAAATATGAGTAAGTTCTAAGGTTTGTGCCACTGCCAATTTCCTGGTTTTGATAATGTATTATAATCATGTAAGATGTTGACATTAAGGGATGTTGAGTAAAAGATGTATGGGACATTCCTGTACATTTCTTTGCAACTTCTGATGAATAGTAATTATTTCAAAATAAAAAGCTAAAATGGTACACAAATATCAGGGCTTAAATTACACAGTCTTTCATATCATCCAAGACCCCTAGACATTTTTCAGTAATGTAAAACAGAAGGAAATTAGAATAAAATATATTGCATGTTGGTCTACACAGAGAACATACTTGGATTCCAGAATTCAGTCACGAGAATCTACCCTGAAGGTGGCCTCCCTGGTGGCACTGAAGTTAAGACTAAGCATTATCAAATTATCACCGATGCCACCTGAGTTTGTTTCCTAGCCAGCAAGTAGCCCATATAGCATAGTTCAGCTCTCCTGTCTTGCCCGCTGCTCCCCTCAGCAGTATATTTCAGTAAATCTGCCTGTTGTGCTTCCCACTCTGTTTCTGGTGAATTATCTCACCCCTCACACCTCTGGCTATACCCTAGTTCTTGACTGACTGACTGACTGACTGAATCTTTTTAAAAACTAAGAATCTACCCTTATTTTAGATAATGAAAGCCAGTGCACTCCTTAGAATCATAATTTTTCTGTTATTAAAGTACCACTGTTCCACACCCTTGCCAATGTTATAATAGGATAGGATTTCCCTGCTCAGGTGTAGTCACCATTGTACTCCTACTAAACAACCCACAGCCCTCCTCCAAGTCAAATTCCCTCTGGAAGCTGGTCAGCTTTCAAGGGTTGGTTTTAAAGTTTATCTGGCCTTTGGTTTTTCTACATTCCTCTTATAAGTGACACCATCTGGTATTTATCTATTTCTGGTTTATTTCATTTAACATAATCCCTTCCTGCTCCATCCATGTTTCTGCAAATGGCATGAGATTACCTGTTGTTTGCTGAGTAGTATTCCATTGTACATTGTACAATGTATTGTACATTGTACACCTTCCTAATCCACCCTTTGCTTTGGATACTTTAGATACCAGTATTGTGAGAAAGCTCCACAATACTTTCCATAGGAGCTGGACCAATCTACATTCTCAATAACAGCTGAAGAGCGTTCTGTTTTCTCTACACCCTCACCAGAACTTGTTTTTTCTGGTTTTCTTGATACGGGCCATTCTCTATGGTATGAGGCGATATCTCACTGCAGTTTTGATTTGCATTTCCTCTGATAAGTGATGAAGAATATTTTCTTTTTATTGATGTGGTAAACTATATTGTTATATTTTCAGATGCTGAACAATCTTTGAGTGCCTCGTGTAAATCCCACTTGGTTATGATATTACTGAAAAATACTGAATACATTACTGAAAAATGTCTAGGAGTCTTGGATGATATGAAAGACTGTGTAATCCTTTTAATACAATGTAGGAATCAGTTTGCTAGGATCTTAGTGAGCATTTTTGCATTATGTATTTATTAGGGAGATTGTCTATATTTTTCTTTTTGTGCATGATCTTTGTTTTGGTATTAGAGTGATGTCAACTTCAAAATGTGTTTGGAAGTATTGGTTCTCAATTTTTTGAAGAGCTTGAGCAGAACAGGTATTAATTTGTCTTTGAAAGTTTGGTAGAACTTGCTTAGGAAGCAATCTAGTCCTCTGCTTTTTTTAGGAGAATTTTAATTATGTTTCAATCTCCTTGCATATGATTGGTTTGCTCACATTTTCTATTACATTCCCTATTTAGCTTTGGATGATTGTATAATTCTAAAAATGTGTATATTTTTGTATAGGTTATTCAACCTACTTTCCTAGAAATGTCCATAGTAGTTTGATTAGCCTCTGGATTTCTGCAGCATATATGTTGTTAGCATCTCCTCTTTCACTTTTTTTATCCTATTTAAATATGTTCCCCCCCCCCTTTTTTTTTCTTGGTTAGCCTAGATAGAGAGGTTTGTTTATTTTATCTTTTCAAGGGACTTGCTTTTGATTATATTGTCCCTTGGAATATCTTTTTGACTTATATTAAACATATCTCTGTTCTTTTATTATTTCCTTCTACAGGGTTTGGGTTTTTTTTTTAATACTTTTTCAAGTTTCTCAAGATAAGATATTAGGTTTTTATTTGGGCTCTTATTTCTCTGAGTCTGAATTGCTATATATGTTCCTCTTAGTACTACTTTTATGGTATACCATATATTCTGGAGGCTATGTTCTCATTATCATTTGACTCAATGTATTTTTTGATTTCTTATCAATCATGTGTCTTTCAGTAGTGTGTTGTTCAGTCTCCATTATTAGCAAATATCTTTGCTTTCTCTTAGTAATTGGTTTCTAGTTTGATATCTTTATAGTCAGAGAAGATGCCTGGCATTATTTCAATCTTTATGAATTTGTTGAACTTGTCCTGTGTCCCAGTATTTAAACAATCCTGGAGAATCCTCCATGTACACTTGAAAATTATATGTATTCTGCTGTTGGTGGGATTGAAATTAAAATTTGGAAATGCCCTCATTTATAGTTCATTGTATTAAAGAACTCAAAATTATATTTATTAGTCTTAAGCAAGAGTACGTGGAAAAGGACAATTCTTTAAAAATGCTTTGGTGGGGCCCTCCCGGTGGTGCAGCAGGTTAAAGCACAGCACTAAGAAGCTAAAGTCACTTCTGCATGAGTTCAATCCCCGCCCCCGAGGTGATCCACATGGTGCGGCAGACCTCTCTGGACCCACCTGCTGCTCCCCTCAGCAGTGTACTTCATCTATCTGCCTGTTCTGCTCCCCACTCTGTCTCTGGTGAATCCTTTCACCCCCCTGCACCTATGGCCTGTACCCCAGTTCTGTATGCACAAATATTTTAAAAAAATGCTTTGGTTGTTATCTAGTCTATAGTGTCTGTATTTTTAACCTAGTTCTCAAAATGTATTTTTACAATTTGTTCAGATTTATCAATCAATTCACTAATTCAACTGTTTCTATTTTACCTTTATTAAATCAGTTTGAGTATTTTTCTTGCTTTATTTTTTTAAATATCACATAATGATTTATAATGTGTATCTACAATCCTGAGGATATCTAAATCTTGGTTGTTTTGGTTTCACCATGGTGTCTTCTAACAGTACTCTATTTTTAATGACTTTATATTTAGCTGAGTTTATTCTTTGAAATTCCCGATGTACTAGAGTGATAGTACTTTCTTCAGAAAGGATGTAACTTCATTTTTGCCAGGTAGTAGAAAGTACTAAGTAAACTGAAAATTGTAAATTTATCAATCTTTTTCCATTGCAGTAAAAATTCAATCCAGGATTTGTATGGAGGCAGGTCTATGGCTTCATGCCCCTTGAACACCACACCACAGGACTGCAAGATTCAGCTCTCTGTTCAAATCTTCTGCCCCAAACAAATTATTTTCAAGGCAACTGTCTTTCATTAACAGTGTAATCTTTTTAGAGATTAAGGTTCTATGTAGGGGTCTCAGATTTAGTAGTCCTACACTGTGGCAGGTTCTTCTCTGGGCTGTTAATCCCCAAAGCCTGGAGTTCTGGAGATATTACCTCTAGCCTAAGCAATTTTGCCCTCCTTTACTTTTCTAATTTTAATCTTTAGGTTTTATTCAGTTTGCCTTTGAGAGTTTTCTTTCTTTGGGGCTTAGCTGTGAATTTGAAAGTATCGTAGAATCACCAGAGACATTTTATGCGGATAGAGTGGGAAATGGGGGAGTGCACTGGACTATAGTGATGGCACACTGGTGATTTGGTTTGGGAAGCCCACGGGGATTACAAATGAGATGGCAAAAGGCACAAAATTATGTAAAAATCATTTTTTTAAAAAAAGTATCATACAATATGTATCTAGGTATGTTTCTAAAGACTTTACTAAATAATTCCACTGTTTCCACAAATTACAAATAGGTCATGAAATTTAATGCTTAAAGAAGCCAATGAACATGTCACACCTAAATTTCATTGGAACTCTTACCTTTTCCTTTTTACTTTATTTTTTTAACTTACCCGGGCAAAGTCAAAGTGGGGTTCATATTGTCCACCAACTCCATAATTTGCTACCTGAAAGGAGAAACAAAGTATGAATGAAAAATGAAAAGGAAACCATTTTAAATCAATGATAGTTCATGAGGAGTAAGAGATAAAAACTAAGGGTAACTACTATATGCTATTTTAGAATCTCAGTTAATAGTTTTTTTAGTAAATGTTTGGAGGGGAGCACATTTTGTTCTTAATAAACAAGTTAAAGGAAATTTGAATTTGAGAACTAGAATTTTTAGAATTAAAATTTTCTAAAACTGGAATCTTAAATTTTTTTTAAAGATTTATTTATACATACAGAACTGGGGTATAGGCCAGAGGTGCAGGGGCAGTGAGAAGATTTACCAGAGACAGAGTGGGGAGCAGAACAGGCAGATGCAGTACACTGCTGAGGAAAACAGGAAAACACAGGAGAGTTCTGCCACGCCAGGCAGATCACCTCTGGCAGGGGATGGAACTTACTCTGAAGCTGCAACTAGCTTGCACCCTAACCTGTTGTGCCACCAGGGAGGGCCCTTTTTTTTTTATTTTTTTTTTTTTTAATACATACAGAGATGGGTACAGGCCAGAGGTACAGGGGCAGTGAGGATTCACCAGAGACAGAGTGGGGAGCAGGGCAGGCACACTGAAGTACATCACTGAGGGGTGCAGTTGGAGAGACAGGAGAGGTCTGCTGTACCATGTGGGTCACCTCCAGGCCGGGGATCAACTTGTTGTGAAGCCGCTGCAGAGAGCTTCATAGTGCTGCACTTTAACTCATTGCAACACCAGGGAGGGCCTTAAAATCTTAAGATTTCTATTTCACTAAACATTCTCCTTTGGAATTTAAATCAAGACTAATTCTTCCCAAACTCCAATGGGGAGGTTAACTCCCAATGTGTTATTTAAATCCTTTTTTTTTTTTTAAATCTTTTTACCTTCTAATGTAAAAAATGGGAAGCACTAATACCAATTTAATGACTCCTACTGGAAGGGATATAATTTCAGTTATGACAGTGTCCAAGTGTGAAATGGCTAAAGGTAGTAAGAAAATTATTTTGTAATGATTTCGGTAATTAGTTATATATGACTTTGGAAACAAATTCACAAAATAAGGAATAAAATAACTTCCTTAAAAAATACCGAATGGGGGCCCTCCCTGGTGGCACAGCGGGTTAAAGCACTGCACTAAGAAGCTTAAGCCACTTCCGCATTAGTTCTATCATTCCCCGCCTGCCCCGGAGGAGATCCACACGGTGTGGCAGACCTCTCCTGGTCCGCCTGCTGCTCCCCTCAGCAGTGTACTTCTGTTCTGCTCCCCACTCTGTCCGTGGTGAATCCTCTCACCCTCCGCATCTCTGGCCTGTACCCCAGTTCTGTATGAATGAATAAATAAATCTTTAAAAAAAATTTTTTAAAATACCGAATGGTTTCACTCATAGCAGGAGTGTAACGGACCAGGCGAGAAAATAATAATAATGAACAATTATATACCAGAGACAATTTATGGGAGTGAAGTGGGGAATAGGATCAAAAACAGTGGGGGGAGGGTAATGCACTGGACTTTGGTGATGGCACAGGGTGATTTGGTGATGGGAAGCCCAAAGGGATTGCAACTAAGATGGAAAAATGCACAAAATGATGTAAAAATAAACTTAAATTAAAAAAAAAATAACTTCCTTAACATCCTGCATCCAATCCCAATAAGAAAAAATGAAAAGAGACTATAATTAACAAAATATTGAACTAAATTACTACTTGTTCCCATACTCTATATGTGGATATAACTAGAGAGAATTTTAAATGTTGCCCAAAAACTTGTACACATATGTTCATAGTATTAGTCATAATAGCCAAAATGCAAACCAAAATATCCATAAACTAACCGATTAAATGTAGTATTTCCAAATGATAAGCTAAATTACTGATAAGCTATAATATAAATATACCTTGAAAACACTGTTATGTAAAAAAAGTCTAATATGACAGGTCATATTTCCATTTATATGAAATAGCTAGACTGGGCAAATTCATATAAAGTAGATAAGCTTGCCAGAGTTTCTATTAGGAGGAATGGAATGGACTGTATATTTAAAACTAACTGGAGCTTCTTTTGGGGAGTGATGAAATGTATAAAATTAGATAGATAGTAGTGTTGGTTACACATTCTTTCTAAAGACTTTACTAAATAATTCCACTGTTT